ATCTTCATTAATACTTTAACCTTCTTTTCCACCGAATAATAAAAAGTATTCTAACATAAAGTACGTCCAGGCTCTGAGGAAGGCGAAGTTGCCGAAACGTCGGCCATCGTTCAATAACATCAAAAACAACGACAACGACAACGAAGATCTGTACCAACCTCGCGTCAGCTTAAGAAGATCAGTTTATAAGATCACATAAATAAATATGTCAACTATCTATGCCGAGGTTCATAGAAAGTCGGTCTTTCGAGTTATTAAGAGATGTCGGGAATATGTTGAAATCGCACTATGCATGATGTATATCACTCATAATCACCAACGCATTAGATTCTGTGTCAGCAGCACTTGACAATTTTACAAACTACTTAGAGTTTGTTTCCAAGTTGATGACTGTTAACATATTTTCAGGTGGGATTCCATTAGTTCGGATGTTATGACGACCGCGCTTGAAGCGAAATTCGTACAAAATGCCCAGCTGCGTCATTTGCTCTTTCTAACCCATGGTTCGCGGCTCGTTGAATGCTCGCCGTATGACCTAATTTGGGGCATAGGTGCGCTGTTTTGTTAAACTACAGTAATGTTCCATGCAGATATAAACATCTCGTTGTCATTCTTTTTTAATGCTTCTTTCTTTTTAATTTAATCTAACATAGAGGGATCTGCGTCCGTATAGTCAGCTCAGGTCTTCCGATCAATAGCCCCGATGCTGTAAACCCTTCACGATGGCGTGGAAAGAATCGCCTAGGATCTCTCATGGATGCCGTACGTGAGAAGCTCTGGGCAATGGATGAATACAGGTCCACTTTTTCTAATTTCTTTCTAAAAAATGGTTGCAAATGATTAGAACAGTGAAACCGTTTTACTGCATATTAACCCCTTAATCTCTCCATGATCTTCAACATCTTCGCGACGACGTCTTATTTTTGGTTTTTACGGACTGTCAGATTTGTTGGTAATAGAAAATAATTTTTCAGCAACTAGAGAACTTGGCGAGTTATGGACATGACAGCGTTGTAAAAGAGATTTTGTTCTATCATTCTGTGGGTATAAATGATATGTATGCTACAGTTCACTATGTATTACTATAACCCATCATCCAAGCACTTGATGTCAGCATTTCGAAGGGTTTTCAGCCTATGCTGAATTTTGGTATTTTTTACATCTGCACATGCTTTATTATCCCAACGGTTTACTGCTTCATTGTGCCTGGGAGGTGTTCCTGGGTGTCGGCTGCGGTGTACAGCGGGGGCATTCATCCACTTGGCAGGGTGTTCTAGGCTGAGGAGTTTGGCGTTTCCATCAGGAAATCTAGCTAAGAGTAAACCAATACCAGGATCCACCACTGTCGTGCATCAAAGTTGCAAGACGGCGAATCTCTCGCTGATCCACGAAGGCTGCGACTGCCTGTGGTGGTGAAGACGTGGGGCAGACTTTGGCCAGGCTGACCTCGGGATTCCAGGAGAAAACAGTGGCTTAACCACAAATCTCCGAAAAATTGAGATTATGTTGGGGCCCGCACAACCAGTGAGGACGGCCTATTCAAGTATCAAGTGTCAGGTAAGTAAATACAGACTATATAGCAAGTATTATCGACCAATGAACTTCTTTGTAAAGTTGTTTCTTGCATATCATTAAGCGTGAAGAATACCTTTTCTGGTCTTCCCTTCTATTTCAATCTGCTTCCGACTAGGTATGGAGTAAATGTACATGCTTACTTGGACACTTGGACGACCCGTCCTCACCAGTTACGCGGGTTCCAGGGTATTCTCCATTTTTTGAAGCTTTGCAGGTTTAACCACTGTGGTCCCCTGGACTCCCATGGTCGGTTTTGGCAAAGTCTGCAGCAGGTCTTCACCACCACAAGCAGTCATACCCCTTGTGGATCAGAGGGGAATTTGTCACCATGCAACTTTGATACCAAGACGGTGGTGGATCCTGGTATTGGTTTCCTCTTAGCTGGGCTTCCTGATGAAAACGCCGTGCTCGTAGGAGTTGAATGTCTCGCTCTACATTGCAGACCGGCACCTAGGAACAGCACCCAGCCACGATGAGGCAGTGAACCGTTGGGAGGGTAAATTTACATAGTATAGATGTAATGAATATAAAATCTAACTGAATTGAAAATGGTCATTGTTAGAGTCTAGAACATTCACATGCACGGCCGTGTATGAACACCGTTTGTGGAAGACTATACCTTTCGAATACGTTAATTATCGGAGTAATCTTTCGTTTCATACGGTCTACCTTTCCCGTTACTCCATTACTACATGCCTTTATTCTTCGAAAATCACGTGGCTCATTTAAGCACTATTCAAATAGGCTCATTTGAGACTTGATAACCTTGTTGAAGAATAATGGAGATTATTTTTCCTTTTTGCTGACTTTTTGTATATTTAGAGATCAGCGTAAAGAAGTGGAAAATCAAATGAGTTTATATTCGGGTTATGCGGATCTGTACTTCTCGTCGAAAATTCCAAGGTCATTATTACGTATCCTGTTTGAAATCTTTTGTGAATATCTTTGCTGGGGAAAAAAGGGTGGCTACGTTCTTAAGCGATTGTTGGGTTGTTCAATGTAGCAAAAAACGCCCATTGCTTCTGTTTGCACAAAAGTTTTGCACCATGGGTACATGCTATAGCAATATCTTCAGAGCATATGCTAAAAGATGTATAAATAGGACATGTTTCCAACTTTTTAAAGTATATTTGCAGATCTCGGATTAACTATGAAGGAACTAACTATGCAGATGGTGAATCGTACGGTTATCATGGAAAGAATCGCCAACGTAACGGCGGAGATGCTTCTCGTGCAAGGCGGAGCGCTCAGGCTGAGGAGGATTTGATTGAAGCTGTTTGTATGGAAAAGTGGAGGCGGAGTGGTCACGAAAACACAAAAGTGAGAATCGAGAACTGGTGAGTTAGAGGTGTTATTTTATAAAGCTATGTGTTTTATCCACTATGCATTTTCAGCGAAGACCAACTGCCCGAAAAGTCCAGCTTACCATCAACTCAGAAAGAAAATCGTAAATCTTCTCCTGATTCGATGTCAGCTCATCATGAAAATGTGACAGAAAGTGATGATATCAACAAAAATAATGCGAACACAGTTAGTACAATGGAGAGGGACGTTAAAAAATCCGAAGTTCTTCTAAATGTAATCGACCCTTCTATACAAGAAATTCTGCTGCCAGAGGAAACGCAACGAGCCAAAAAAATGAAAACATCTAAAACGGCGATCGAAACTGAACAGAGCGGCTATGTTCAGTCTGTTAAGGATGAAGTGGCGACGAAGTTGAGTGCGTCTTGTCTGGATGACTGCACACGTACCGAACCCTCTACGGATAATGGGGGTTTAGAATTTAAAATAAGAAAGAAATTAACAGCACGGCGGATAACTAATAGTCAAAATGAGGTGGGTACGGCCATGTCCTTCAAGTTTTGTAACCGACCGTAGGTTTATAATTTGTCACTACTACCTATCTCTTTGTATTTCGAGTCTCTTGTGCGCAATTTCCTTTGATAATGGAAATGGTGGACTTTTGTAGAACCTAGAATATCACAAGAAGGAACGAAAAAAGCGTGATAAAAGCCGTAGCAGAAGTCGCTCGAGGTCAAGGAAGGGGAAGTCTCGATCTCGTTCAGCATCAAAGAAGATTAGAAGAAATAGTGAAGGTAAACATGGTGAAAGCAAGGATGACCAGAAGACTTCAGAGGAGGCAAAACAATACAGCAAAAATAGCCCTAGGAAAGGTCACTTACGTTTACTTTTTATTAAGTTGATAGGAATTTCTGTGTTTTCAGCTGGGCATAAAGACGAGCACTATAGTCATAGCCGTAAAGTGCGAAAGAGTGAAAAAAGAAGACGATCGAGAAGCAAGGACAGATCTAAGGATGGACGTCGTGAATCAAAAGGTATTAAACATGTTCTCCTCGATTAATGCTCTTTGTAATTGAACTGAACTGGTTTGTATCTTCACAATGTATGCTTCAGAAGGTAAACGTCAGCGTGAAGAGAAGTTGATGGATAAAAAACTCTATGTGAAAGAAGAAACAAAGTCAAGTGTTAATTTGAAGGAGACAAAGAACGACATTTCGCATCCTGGTTTGTTTTTTTGTGTCTGTAGAAAACGAACTGCCGTAGAGGACCAATTCTAGCATCTTAGGTTTATAGCAACAAACTTTTCTTGAGGTGAGAAGGTGCATTTTACCACCTTGCTTATTTTCATTACTGGTAATTGTTGTTGTTACTATATTTATCACAAAATATCTAACTTATTCTATCGTTAATTCGGTCCTCCGTGTGCATATACTTCAAACATCCCTTTATCCTTGGAAATCTGGAAGATGTCTTGTGTTTTGTAGATGAGAATGTGGAAAACACTGAATCTGCAGCAGAGGACATCAGCGGACCATCAGCAATTAGTACTTCGAGAGCTGACAAGGTATGGTAATATAAATTATGTGCTTTCAAAATTGTATAGTTGGGTGCGTCTACTTTCACGAGGATCATTGCAAACCTCAGAATAATTTCCTTTTGACTGGCTTTTACTTTTTAGGCATATTTTTTTCCTCGTTAGACTACCTAAGTGAACGCAACAGGGCGATGGGAAAGGGCAGCAGTTGTGAGCATAGGCTATAGTTATCTCTTATTGATTAAGAAAGGGAAGAAGTTTGATTTTTCGTAAACAGGTTTCCTCCAGTAACCTATTTCTGGCAAAGGTTCATGATTTGCTGAACATCGAATGGAAATCTTCTCTGGCCTTGCTGTAGCTCAATCACTAACCTTAGGTCTTACTGAGCTATGTTTAGCTTTTTTAGTGTCTTTTTCATCAGTACGTCATTTGCTGATACATTGTTTCAAGGAACAAGGAAAGCTTGGTTATAAAAACCACTGTTGCCCACAATTTTTATCCGATTACATTGAAATGGTTGGAGGATTCAACATTTTCTTTTTAGATGAACAGCCTCCTCAATAGAATGAAGAAGAGACTTTCGTCATTGTCCAAGCAAGCTAGGTAATGTCATTCAACTAGTTTCATGCGGGTTGTTGTGGCTGGTTAGGCTACTGTTTAATGTCTAGAGTGGCTAACCGCTTTTTGGTCACGTTTTTAGCTTGGTGGTCATTTGTGTTATTTTGATGACTTTGAATTACGTGTTTCATTCTTTGTCGTTTTCTTAATTGTACACAATGATATTTCTCATCTTAGCGTCAAATATTTTTTTTTGCAAAACAGGTTTTTCTATGCGTGGGAAGGTAGATTATAAGGACGACAACGTGTTTAGCTTCTAGACATAATCATACAGTTTCTGAATTTTGGTGTGCTTTAGTGTAACCACACAAAGCTCTCCTTTTATAGGGAATTATTATATTATGATGATAGTGCCGTGCACAAGTATGGCCTCATCTTGGTACAATTTGCTACTGGTTCTAGTTGTGTCGTTGCTGTCAGCACCATCTGTTTTGCGATTCTTTCAACATGGAACAAAGTGATTGACTAATAGGTGTTATTACTATGTATTTCTATTTAAATAAGATGGAGATTTCGGTGGCACTTCATGTTTGTAGTAATTCTCAAGAGTGCCGTCAATTTCAAACAAGTCCCTCAAAATCGCGATCGCGAGGAGCGGGGGACTCCTACCCTCACTCCTTCCTCCCACGCCGCGGAATGCCTTGCAAGCCGAAGAGCCTTGCGTTTCCATCAGGAATACCACCTAAGAGCAGCTATACCAGTATCCATTATCATCATGGTATGAAACTAGTCGCATGATCTCCCTCTGATCCACAAGGGCGGCGACTGCTGCCTGTGGTTGTGACGAACTAGGGCAGGCTTTGGCTAGGTTAACCTTGGGACTCCAGAGAAGCACAAGGGTAAGAGAACTCTGCAAAACTCCGAGAAAGTGGAAATTATGTTGGAGTCCACACAACGAGTGAGGACGGGTCATTTAAGTATCCAAGTAAGTAAAAAATACAATTACCAAGAACATTTTATCGAAGCAATAGAGCATCACAGACAACAGTATATCACGGGGTTTTACCATGTTCTTTGCATGAATCAGGTACTTTTCGAAGAAATTTAAAGTTAAAAAGTAAGGTTATTAACAAATAAACCACAAATTGTAATAAAAGCTCGGCATCTGAGAAAATATTTGAGACGAAAGAAGAAATAAGTTAGTCAGGCCAATTATCCTTAACTGAGTAAGAAATGCAACAAATGAAAACAAAAACAAGAATAGTGCAATAGTGCAAAAACCACTGAATGATTTGAGGCGTAATTCATAACAACGTAAAAGTTAGGGAAAAAGAATACACTTATAATGCTATAGAAATACCTAGGTTGATTTGTATTCATCTAGAGGACACCGCAATGATGGATTAATCGATAGGGGTTCTCTGGGCGATAGACTGCTTAACTGCCTGGAATAAAAGAACTCGATAAAATTGTAAGTTTACGACCCCAAATTCGAACAGTCCGCTTGAAAAAAAATCCATACTTGTGTCTTTTCTGCGTCAATCTTGATATATTCAATATCAGAGGGAACCGGACTTCTCATTGAGTGAGCCCTGTCCATAACCACTGGATGGAAGTAATCCAGTTCGCGCGACCGTCCCAACGGTCCGGCTGACTGAAAAAAAGGAAAAATGAAGAACCGAAACGATAAAAGAACAGCATCAATAGAAGTCGGACCTAATGAACGGAAAGAATACGAGATACCCCTTATAAGTTCGAAAAGACTGCTCCTGCAAGCCGATGAATTTCTCGCTACAAAATCTCTAGTTAGTCGATTTGATCGCATTTTCAATCGAAAAAACGCTAAAGTTACGGAAAAAAAACCATGGCAAGATCAGGAGTGATGATTTTCCTACGAACAAATGAAGAAAAAATAGCAAAACCACTTCGTTATCCAAAAATATAGATAGAACGTCCTCGTAAACTTACACAACTGGTCACTAGTAGTGACGGGGAAACCAACGAAATATTCCATGACACAGGGAAACCTATTTACTACTTTACATTTTCATACTTGGCGACAACTGCTAATAATTTCTGAATCATTGGAGAACACCATTGTATGTTGCTGGATGAAATACCACCTCATCAACGCATTCTTATTCGAAATAAGGGTTTTGAAGCAAAAAACGAGAGAGAATGGTCAGACGAAAACTTCAACTTGGTAGAATAACAGAAATTGTATCTTGTATACAAGGATTCGACAGCTATCATCTCAATTAGTCAAATTTAATATGACAGATAAGTTGGTTCAAAATTAAGAGGGCAATTTTTGTAACAAATTCATCATACTCGTGTTGGGCTTAATGTGCTAATTTACATTCCACACTTTTGCTATAGCAAGGCCTCTTAGACAGTCAGTACAGTTTCCAACGCACATAAATTTACAGAAAGCTGGGTATGGATACGAATAATTATCTTAAATACAACCACAGTGGGGCTGAGATATTGACAAAACTCCGGACCGCGGGCACCTGCAGTAGGAATCGAACACGCTAATAATCCTTCCAGGGGATAATGCGTTCACCAACACACATATATTCACTACCACTTATCTCTTACATATAAGTTTGCACATTAAAATGGAATGATGAGCTAAGAAACCACAGTCATTCCAAAAAATTCCCCATGGTATCAAATAAAAGCCGATACGTAACCATAGTCACCTTGGGTGGTTCTCGCATGTACGTATATTTCGTCCCAGTCCTTGCTTGTGGAGTTCTCGGAGTCCTAGTGAAACTGTTCCCTGACCTTAAAAATTCAATACGCAATCCCTATGTTGAAGAATGTCGAAATAAGAGATCTCACAAAAAAAATGTTTCACGCTAAAATATGGAAATGCAAAAAGATAAATTTTGGAATAGCTAAGAAATTCACATGGACTAGAAAAATAGCCTTTTACAACAGAGTTGCGCTTCAGATATCAACAACAAAAATTTCCTCGTTACAAGAACCGAACCTACGGTGAATATATCAAATGTTCAGCAGCATGTTCTGTAAAGAGCGTACTCACTTATTGTAACCATGAATCGTCATCTCATCCGACATTTTGCCTTCTTCATAATCATACAAGCGCAGTTTGGCCGGTTTGTTTGAGCGATCAACAACTGGTGGCTGGAACATAGGAGTACGTAGTCGATCATCTGATGAGCATTGAGAGTTCGCATAACGGGTAATGGAATGCCTTAACAGCACTGAATTGAACAAGTACTAATGGTTAAGAATCGATTAGTTGACACAACTCACATTTTTATCGTCTCACCACTACTATCATTATCCTTTGCTTCATTGATAATGCTATGAGGTGGAGCAAATGCCATTTGAGATAAGTAATCCTTAAAGAAACCTTAAAGTAATCTTTGATCCTTAAAAAAAGGCAAAATCCAACTCTCCTATAGACAGCATCGAACACGAACGTAACGTGGTCATTATGAAAACCCGGACGTAATAAATTCCAATTATAGATACTACAATACACATTAGCAACTCGGTACAAGAAATCCATCATACAATCCCTGGTTTAATGATCAGCCTACACGTCTTTGTCACTCGTTTTTATTATGTTTAACATATCAGAGTGACCACTTTGTGCAGAGTTGAGATGACTGGAGTCAAGTGCCTACAGCACTAATTCCTTGCAACGGTGTGTTCCTAGCTGCACCAAATCGAATCTGGCGGAGTGGTGCACCGAAAGAATAAAGTGGCCTCATTGGTAGTTCATCACAATCGGTTGTCAACTAAGTTTTCACTATGAAAATCCACTCTTAGCACTCGGAACCAATTACTCTTTCTACGAAATAGGCAAAATAAAGTACGAAATATGACATATGACTCGACATTATATTTTGTAATGATCGCAGCACTTATTTCATTCAAATCACTGTTTTGTATTTTTCATTCACCAAAATCTTCGGAGGTGGAACCAAGTTAAATTTGCTCTCGAGAATTTTACTAAATGATAATTGAGCGAATTCTCATTCCCGAAATCTGGAATAACACTGCTAGATTTCTTCAAGGCCTTCGCCACAGACAGGTACAAGCATTTAAGGGTCCGATGGAGAATTTTCCAGACATGCTTGGCACCAACTCGTCGAACCCGGCGACATGGTGTCGTGGTGGACACGAGATGAGATCGAACCAAGAACTACGGGGTGTTGCATGGCATATCCAACTACTCTTTCACGCGTCCATAGCAAAAGAATATTTACATGAATAAAAACTACACATATGGACGAACTATGTATTTTTGTGAAATTAGCGTATATATGTATATGTGTATGTATATGTATATATGGAGTCATTTCTATCAGGAAGCCTAGCTAAGAGCAAACCAATACCAGGATCCACCACTGTCCTGGTATCTAAGTCGCGTGGTGGCAAATCTCCCTCTGATTAATAAGGGCTGCGACTGCCTGCGGTAGTAAAGACCTGGGGCAGACTTTAGCCAGGTTGACCTCGGGATTCTAGAGAACCACAATGGCTTAACCAGCAAATCTCCGAAAAATGGTGATTATGCTGGGGCCCGCACAACCAGTGAGGACGGCCTATTCAAGTATCAAGTAAGCACATATATATATATATATATATATATATATATAAATTGTAGGAAATGGGTCGCGCTACAAAGGCTGGCAACTGCTTGTGCTGGTGTGGTAATCTGAGGGACTCAGCTAGGCCGACCTCGAGACTCCAAGGAACCATAATGGCTGGCTCAACCAGCAAAAATTCAGTCTCAGTATCACGCTAATTTCCCATTCCTGGCCACAATGTCGGTCGGTGAACCGACCGGTGAGAGGTGATCATTCTTGGGTTGCACAGGACGTCATTGGAGAGGGACAAAATGAGTAAGTCCAAGACACGTCATCGAGGTTGCTTCTCGCTCCACACCCATAACAATAGAACAACCTCTTCGGAAGCCGACCTTTACGCTCTTCTTGAGAACTTTGGTCGCATCAAAGTGTGTGATCGCCCTAAAAGAGATGAAAGGCAGGAAGACCATCATACTCGAATCATATGACGAAGCCTTTGTCATTAGTGGAGGGAAATTTCTGCTGCGAAATATCGGAGGCGTTGAGTTTGTCGTACACCCATCTATTCAACCAGTCAACTCGTACGATATTCTGTTACGGCGCTTGCCCATTCATGGTCTTCCACTTTGAAGTCAAAAGAACGTTAACACCATCAGCTCTACTCAGCGACTTGTACAGCTGATAAGAGTGGACGTGTTCTATGATCAGTTGGAAGAAGCGTTGTTTAGGATAATGCCAGATTAAGAACGACCAACGAAAACGAATAGGAGGTAGAAAACCTCAAAATTGGAGATCGAAATGAAAATAGAAACCGTCATTTAGGAATACTACCCGCAGTAGATCTCTCCCATGAAAATTCATTTTTCAATGTGAGGAAAAACCGCCGTTGCCCATGAGTCTCCAAAAATCACAACTCATGCGGAGATTGACCATATTCCCACGAACAGAAAATGGTAACTCTTTGATACTTCAGTGGTATTTGGATTATGTAACGGATGTGATCACCGTCAGATTATTGCTGTCATCGTGACAGGATTCGATCCAGCCACAAACTAGAAAAGAACTACTATCGCAGAAAAAATATTAAACATGTGTATGACAAGGATACTCTCAATAAATTCTTCTACTCATATCACTGGCAGATAAAGGAAGATGCGATCGAGAACAAACTGCTTGTCGAAGGACTTAAAAATTGTGCCTAACTCGCCAGTGCTCCTCAAAAAAGAAGCTCACATCACATCTCCAGTACCATTAAGGTGTTGCTTGAAAAGATGAGAATGAAGCTTGAAGACCCTAGTGCAATACGGTGCGACTACAATGTTTAGCTACCGCTGTGATGAACGAAGATGGGACTATCACCATGTCCTGCCATGATATAGAACTGATAACGGAAAAGTTCTACATCGATCTTTCCTGTCCCAATGTACACTTCTTGATCTCGAAATCTCCGGTCGAGAAAGACCGCCCGGCATTCTGCTCCTTTAAGTTCAATCTACAGTAGAAAGGATGAAAAGAGGTACAGCTTCAAGACTATGTAATATAACCGCCCATATTCTTAGAGCTGGTGGGCACAAATTATATGTACTTCTCGCAACCCATACATCTTACCTTTAGAAAGAAAAAACCGCAGACCAGTGGAGGACGTCATGCACTGTCATCTTACGAAGAAACGATTGGCAATTAGTACCATAGTTTTTATATGAGGCCGCTTATTTTTTACAAGTTTACGAAATGGTAGCTACGATAAGCGGCTTACATAGGCTAATAGAGGCTTAATTAGCTTTTGGTTAGACTTCCGGATGGGAACGTGGAACTCACTTTGATCCTAGATGACCCTGTGGAGGGTGTGAATCCGTCTGTTGTAGAAAACTTAACAGTTTCCAATTCCTACCATAATATTCACGAATTTTTTTCAGTCCAGCTTTACAAAAACAATAAACCTGCCTTTATGATGTACATTATTAATTTCACCATAAACGATAAAATTTACAACGGTCAATAACACAGACGTGAACCGCCAGACTGCCGTTCTATTTTTTAAATCGCCGACGCCGTGAAAGTGAAACTAACACATTTAGTAAATACGGGATAATACCTATCTTAGCAGCGCCGACGAATTCAGCACCAAATGGTGAACCCGTCTCCCCCACTGGATTAATGGGAAGGAAGCATGGTTCGTTAAGGCGAAGGAATCAAATGTTGCCTCATATACTTGTTGACAAGTTGAATTCCACTCGTTGAATTCTGTATCAGTTGTATTACACCATTCCAATTTCTTAACCAGCGATGACATTGTCTCACAGAGACAAGGAATTCAGCTGTCTTGTGATTTAAAGTTACTTTCCAGGACGAAAAAATTCCAGACATCATCCGACAGATAGTTTGCCGATTGTGTAAGAAGCCAAGCCTGCTTAAGTCAAAAATAGTGAGTAGAAACAACTAACCATAGTAGGTCGTTTTACAGGAACACCAGTAGAAGATGAAGCAGAAGAATACTGAGGCATTAAATGAGATCTAAAGCAATATTTTTTTTTCTAATAACACCTCACTTTTCCAATATCTCAGCATCCACAACGATGCTCCCGGAAAGGATAATAGCAAGTTCGAATCTGGCCAGAGGTCTGAGTTTTGCATAATTTCCACAGTATTATTGTGGTTGTATTTCGCATAATACCTTTCCATGCGTAAAGAATAGGCAGTAAATAAAAAGTTACACATTGTGATTTCGTTTGCAGCGTCAGTTTAACTAAGTTCGATGCGTGTTTCCAAGACCATTCCTACTGAGGGGTTATTGCTGATGGCATCGTTAGGGTAAAAAACTGGTAGAGAGAAAGATAAAGCAAGTGTCTCAGTGGTTCGGTGGGTAACATGTAACAGTTATGCATTTTGATTTAAAAAACTGTCATAGAAGGACCTTGGAGGGATCGGCGGTCCGCATGAAAGATTGCTTAGCTGCGAAATGCAGCTAGTGGAATCATCGTCGCCATCATTACTTCGACGGTCCGACGTCACAGAGGAACATATAGATGGAGATGATGAGTGACGACGACCTAATAATGATTCTAAACAGTAACGAAACATATGAAAGAGTGCTCTGTATTTTGATACTACATTTTTGCTGCAATTTTAACAGTATCGATAAAGACTCCAAAAGAAACTGAGTTCCTAAATGTGAATTTCGGAGCTCCCGCAAAAATGAAGAAAACTTCATAACTCGAGTTTTCTAGATGAAGAAATCTCACCAGTCCTACGATTCCTTTGAAGGTGACTGCTCTTAATATCCATAGTACGCGGTGGAACATTTTTTTGAGCGATGTCGTGTCGAAAGTTTCTCCAACGAGGATGTTGACGTCTTGATTTCTGTAAACAAACACCTTAGTAAGAAAGAACATCACCAACCAGCAGCATCACAAATCATGCATTCAAACGATTCTCCACAACCACGACGAAACGGCACGACAACAGAGCTCACATAGCGCGTTTCAAGTTGAATCGATGTCATCTCTAACAAGAAAGATACCAAGAAGAACGGCGTTCATTCTACATCCTAGGTGGGAAATGACCGAAGGATGGAAAACCAACTGTGATTGACTTCTCATCGATTATATTTATATAAAGAAAACCTTTATGCACCATACATTTATTTGGTACAATGTTGGAAAATAGGTAAAGTGAACGGTCTTCGTTACATTATTAAGAAAAAACCCAACCACTTTTCAAAACTTCAATAAATTGGTAACTGGTTCTACATTACTGTTAAAGCCATAATTCCAGCTATTTTAAACTAATCTCATGTGCAAAACACAACACTACTTTATGCCTTTATGCAACGAATGTGAAAATAAAATACTCTTTCCAAAGCGAATAACAGGATGAACTCACATTTTTCAAATTTTGAGAGGACGAGTGCCTTAGGAGTGAACATCTTAGCTGATAAATTTCCCACATTGTTGATTCTACAGCCCATGGTGTCGGATTTGGAAACGGGTTAACAGCAGCATGGATTGTGATTAGGAGGATGCAAAAAGTCAGATCGGACTCGACAGGGTTACACTTTAGCAAAGATGTTGTGCAAAGACGAGAATTGAAACGAGAAACGCGCTTCGGATTGTCGATAAACTCGAATTCATGCAGTAAATCGTCATCTCCGTGTGATAAACGTGAAGTGAGTACCTCGAAAGCATTCATTTAAAATAATGGAATTTCTGCCACACAATCAAACTAGGAAACAGACTGCGAAAAAAATACTGGAAAATAACTTCAAAAATATACACAGACCCACAGATTACAGAAACCCAGTTTCGAGACTTAAAGGATAAAAGAGGATAAAGCTCTCGGCGTTGATGAATCCCTGAGGGGTGCGCCATGCATTCGACTTCACTAAGCATCGTTTGAGGTGACTGAATGCATATATGGCATCTACAATGACTCGCGGTGGCCTACCGATGTATCGAGCCAGTGCTGGTACCCTCCCAGACAAGTCTGGTACCAATTTGCTAACCCTATAGGGATGGAGGGCTTGGCGGGCCTGGGGTGCGGGAACCGATCCCATGTGCATTGAGAGGCGCCCCCGACCACTGCGCAACACGCGCCCCACTTTAAAACTTGCAGAGTAACGACCCGATTAAAAATATACAACGCACTGATCACTGAAAACGAGAAACCAGGTAACCAGACATGCTAACGAAATGTCGAGTACTTAGCCCAGCATAAAACTGGCCATAAGCGCTGAGATAGCAGCACTACCCACATTGATGATTATTTGACAAGATTGTTAAGCAGTAGTATTTCGACAGCCATCGCGATGTGTCAAATTTAAATGATTTTTTAGAACCTTCCAAAGATTTGGAAAGAAAAGTTCCTGAGAGTAAAATCGGAAGAAAAGGAACAATAATGAAAGATGATACGTGAACGCACACGGAATCTCCGTGTGTCGTTACGTCTAGAAGAAGAAATAAAGCGAAAAAAAAGGAAAAGAAACCTCGAAATCGCGGCTGACTTCACTTCTCGGAGTATCAAGCATGCTTTCCGATGAGCGATCAGAATAAAGAGACAATCCACCAAGGGACGAGGGAATTGTCGAGCGGTGCGAGGGAGCTGACGAAAAGGAAACATTTGAGAAGCAAGAAGGAGAAAAATAGGGCACCGTAGCGCAGAAATTTATAATATGGGATGAAAAGACATTTTGAAGCATATAAAGAGACTGTTACCTTCCATATGTGAATGGTGTTGGTGAAAAATATACGAGTTGTTATCGTCGTCATTTTCTTTCTCCAAGTGGCAAGCACGACAGAGGTTATAAACCCAATCCTTCATCTTCTAAATAAATCATAGCGTCGACTTTCTGCAGAATAACCAAGTTCGCTGTAATTTAAAGAAGTTCACAGACGTTAAGCTTTTATTTGCTGCCTATTATAATTTTCTCGGCAAGGTATGGTATTAGATACAACCACAACGATGCTGAGATACTCGCAAAACTTGGACCCCAACCCAGACCGAACCACGATTACTCTTTACGGGTGTTCGCTTATTACACAATGCACCATGACGCCCTTGCTTTGCGTTTCTCTCAGCCAGTTTTCTTTGTAATGCTGTCATCAGCAATCACCCATCAGTGGGATTGAGCCAGAGTCGTGGTTCGATCTGGTCCGTTGTCCAAGTTTTGCGAATTTCTCAGGATCGTTGTGGAAGTACATAGAATAACCACTCGCTTAACACGCAAGCATTTTCACCCAACCGAAAGTAGAAACGCCAAAATGGCTAAAACAGACTACCGAGTAAAGTTCGTGTTAACAATTGCAATCGATGGTCATAACAGAACACTATCACTCATTATCACAATATTTTAAAGGAGAGAAAAATATGGAGTTTACCTCTTCCGATTCTGACACGAAATACAACGGTGTCTTCTTTTGTGGTGAAAGCTCCTTGGTGAAATAGAGAGAGAATATCCACTGGAATCCGCCGAATCTAGACGTTGTTGAGCACGACGAATCCGCAAGTTGAAGATGAGAATCGATCTGAAATTATGAACTAGATGAAAAGCCGTGGTTTGCTCCTCGACAATGTTCAGAAAAATCCAGGAACTGGTCACCGATGAGCTCTAAAGAAGGAGGAAACTTCCTTGGTCTCACCATAAGCATATGTATGGGCCGGATAGCACAGTGGTTGTAATGTCCATCATCACGAGCATGGTGCAAGTTCAATTCCGCCCCGGATTAACCAAGCCTCTCAAGCCTCCAAAGTCGGAAAATTGATACAGGACTTGCCCGGGAAAGAAATTATTCTCTGCGATCCAACTGGGAATGCCCCAGTACCGCTATCTCAGGATTCTATGGAGAATACACTCAACCATCATTCTACGACATTCAAGGTGAAATGAAAATCCTCGAGCAGTAGTCGAAGCCACAAGTGAAAATAGGAAAATCTTTACGGATGATGGGTGCGAGGAAACGAATTAAATGTGCTGGGATCCACACAGCAGACGTGAAGACGGGTCATATTAAAAAAAATTTAAAAAGTAGTCATACGTACGACGAAGACAAAACGACACTTACCTGGACACATCGTACCAAGTCGAGAGACTTCCGCAATCGTCTTTTGTCTTCACTGCGGAATTCGTCCAAGACGTACGTTCCCAACCGTTTATCGCACACTCGTAACACAAAATAGCGACGGACCCATTTCGACTGAAAAGTATGAATTTACCCACCACGAGGAGAGCAGACGTACTTGTAGAGTCAACCTTAAATGGCGGGAAATGCATACTGCGCTCCCTCGATCGAATAAGCCAGCCCTCCATATACACTGAATCAGCCATCAAAACTGTCAACACGACAGCGTTCTTGTAAACAGTGCCATCATTAGGTTAGTGTCCCAGCAAACAGAAACCAATCTGAATTCGATATGAAGATTCTGGACCGAAACTTATTTCGAATGGAACTTTTTAGAGTTTCCATGCTCTTGGCACACAGTGATCAGAAAAACACTGTCCATTAGAAGCTGCAGAACAATACGGCTATGGTTATCATACAACTAAACTCAAGGGACAGCAGGAAAGGATAAGATATTCCTGCAACCTTAGGAGAAAGTGCGGAGTCACAGCTCGTCGGCCGACCGGCCGGTCAGCGAAGAACTTCTCCGTCTCTGTCCTCCGGGCGGCGACACAGAGAAGCAGAGCGTCACAAGGCTGTCTTCCGATGGAATGGATGTGACAGTCTGCCCTCAGGGGTTCTCGTCGATTTCAACCATCTCATTAATCGCGGATTTACACTAGACTTTTACTTTCACTATTTTATAGAACAGGCATCATAATATAGTGCGAGTTTCTTCTTCCGTTCCTCATATCTTCAAAGTAGCCACTGCTCAGCGTTTTTTAAAAGCTTGTTGAATTCTGTTGACGCTCATCTTGTTCAACGTTATGTCGATCTCCGTTAATTTTCAACCCAGACATTTTATCTGGGTTTCGTTTCTTCTCGAAAGCTACTCAAAAACTAGGCTTAGTTCGTTCTCGCTTATTTTCAGTTGTTTTGTTATAAGTTGTACGTAACTTTCATGTTTAAAAGTTATTAGCCTTTTTTATATGATCTTATAAACTGATCTTTCTGAGCTAATGTGGGGTAAATTTTTCCCACTCATAACAGCACGGCTCCGAGGAAGGCGAAATCGCTGAAACGTCAGCCATCGACCAACAACACCAACAACAACGATATCAACCTGCTCTCAGCTTGACAAGATCAGTTTACAGGATCATATAAATAAATAAGACAACTATTTATACCGTGGTTTATACAGAGTCGGTCCTTTGAGTTATTAGCCTTGTTTTTTGTTAGTTTCAAGCACACTCTCTCCTGCGAGGTTTCAAGATCATGGATTTAACAATCAGTGCTGTTTCTATCGACAGAGAAATACCTTCTAACATGAGAGAACCAACGACGTACCAGACAGCACGACAACGTCTTTTAAGGACGTAGTTATTTTGACAATAACAACCTGATTACTTTTTTACCTGTGTGAAAACACTTTCATTATTCTCTTGTCTAAAATGAGTTCACTGTCTGGTAGACCAGATTTAACCCTTTTTCATAATCATATTCATTCATGTGCATGGGCGTGTTCGCGTGTACGTTTATGGTATCCTGAGTGGCTGAAACTGACAACCAAGTCAAAGTGAAACAATGGGAGTTGATTCAAGGGCGCCTCGAGTAAGCCCCTGCTTAGTAGTACATAGAGGTCTAAGTTTTAGGTTCAACAGAAACTTATGGAAAATGCCATGCTAAAGTACTTCTCCAATAGTTTACATGTTGCATAACCTTTCTCACTGGCAGTGGAGTCCTAATGTCACGTTAACTTAATCTCTCGTTATCGAGGAACCGAGTTAATGGATCATATCGTCACACAATTGTGTGACGCAATCCATTGGAAAACAAACCGTGCAGATTTTCTATTGAAACTTTACAACATTTCACCGCGTCAGAGATGTGAGGTGCAATAATGGCATTGAGTTATTAGATGATCGGTTATGACATGTGCCGACTATATCTTATATCCATCCTTTTGCTTCACACTTATAGGACACAGTGGTAGTGAGGTCGTCAATATGCGCAACACCCTGGTTTGATCCATCACTAAGCAAGTCTTCCGTCCGCTAGGGTTGTGGAGTTGGTAGCAGACTTGTCTGGCATTAACTCATTTCCTCCCTAATCCATAAAAATGTTGACCGCGTGTGATGAAGATCGGGAAACGTCGTCATCTGGGGATTGCAAGGAGAGTCAACTTGACTGATATTCATCATGCTCAGATGACCAAAAGTCCGAAGAACTTTGTGAAATAAAATGATGGGATCGCATTTGTGATGTTATGCTGTTTAAATTTACAGTAGGTATGTATACATGTATGTATATAAATTCCAATGATTGCATTCAACCACGTCTTTAATTCTTAGTGGAATCCAATGCATTGACCAAAATTACCACTGTAATGTTAACCTTTTATTTGCTGCCTACTATAGTTTTTCACAACAGAGTATGATGTGAAATACAACTAAAACGGTGCTGAGATATTCACAAAACTTGGACCTGTAACCAGATCGCACCACGATTACCCTTTCCTGGGGCTTGCGTATTACACCCTGAACCACTGAGGCCCCTGCTTTGCGTTTCTCTTAGCTGGTTTTAAGCAGTAATAGCAAGCAGAAAATAAAAGATTAACATTTTGATTTCGACTACAGTCTCGGCTTAACTTGGTTCAATGCCGTTTTGTGTTCCCCGGATCAAACTCGTTGACGGGTGATTGCTGATGGCAGCGTTAGGTAGAAGACTAGCTGAAGGAAAGACAAAGCAGGCTCCTCAGTGGTGCATTATGTAATACACGAGCCCCCGGAAAGGGTAATCGTGGTTCGATCTGACTTGGGGTCCAAATATCTCAGCATCATTGTAGTTGTACTAGCACTTTATATTTCAAAAACCGCCTTTCCTTTAATCTCGGCTTGACTAATCGACACATATTTTTTTCTGTTACTTTTCGTTCTTTATTCTTCCCTTCTGTTGTTACTTTTATACATGTTAACTGTTCATACCGAGGTTAAAGCAAAGTCGGTTTTTGAAATCGAATTGCGATTTGTGTTAGCTGACAATGATATCGACTCCTGCAGAATGGATTGTCATTAGAAAAGCAAGTTTCTTAGTGGACAAGCAGTGAACAGTCATCTTGCATAAAATGACACTGCACACTGCCAAGTAAGGTTACTTCTTTCTATCGGTGCTCCATTGGATTCAACTCGAAGCGTTCTCGATCCCACATCGGAGGAAGAAAAAACTGTGGGCAATGGATTTGATCAATCTGGCTCTGAAGAAGGTGTAGTCGCCGAAATGCTATCTGGGTAACTATTTTTCATCAACCTCGTGTTAGCTTATCAATGAAAAAAGTACTCTTTTATGGGACCTTTATCTACAGTGATGACTCGCTCATGACTTCCATACACATCTGGTTTGTACGTAAGGTAGATTGTGTTCCTCTAGTAAAACGAGTGTCGGAAAGGCAACGGATTTAGAAAAAACATTTGTATGTTAGACTCTGCAATCAGGTTCTGAAGTTTTGAATCTCATCGGCTGTTTTGGTAACTCTTCCCGAAAAACTCCCAAGTCCGACTTTCTATTAACCTCAGCATTGATTGAATATATCTTTCTACTCCTGTTCAGCAAACACGAGGTGCTATTTTATTTCTTTATTTACGCACAAGCTGACGTTTCGGCGGATTTCGCCTTCCTCAGAGCCTGGAAGGGTCAACCTGACAGCGATCCATTCGGCCAAACACCTCCATAACCAAACAGAGAAAGCGCTAAACCAAGATTTCAATCATATTTAGCATAGCTCTTCACACTCACCACTTTCTGTGAGTCTTCCACTGAGTATGTCGCGTGAAGACCGACCGCACCAAATTCACATGGAAGCGTAATGTGCTCCTCCCATCAGAATAACAGGTTTATATAGTGTCCAATATCGCGCGTGATAACGAGGCATTCCTCCCTGCGGTTCATTTTCGGATTCTTGGAATTAATCCAGAATGCCTTTAGAGTTTTGCGCACTTGTGTTCTCTATTCTTGCGCGAGGATCGTAACCCTTCAAAATCTTCTCCGTTATGTTTCTGCGTGCTATGCATACCTAGTGGAGTACTTGGCTTACGTTTGCCGACTAGGTGTTCTTTAATACGTACGCAGAGTGGTCTACCCGTTTCGCCAACGTATTCGTCCCCGCACGCTTTACAAGAGATCAGTATAATGGTAGCAACTATTCCCGAATATACTGACATGGCCCGCGCAGGTGTGGAAGCTGATATATAATCGAAAATTTCCTTTGTATCTTTGCGGACAACTTGTATGTAGCAGTATGAACGATGCTCGTCATAGGATAGCCTTCCTCATCGGGAATCAGTTACTCCGTTTCGAGTATATCACATCTCAAAAAGTCAATGAAATGCACTTCCATGACGTCAGTGAAGCAGAGCATTCATGCCGTTCCAACGAAGCAAGGACCAGCCAGTCGGAACAACACCGCACATTTACCATTCATTCTACTGTATACGAATACATGCGCGGTTTCCTGTTCCAGAGCAGTTCTCCACATTATGTCATGTGCATAATCCAACAGCACCTAGTTATTTCTGCTGCGTATAGCTGCACGTCTGCTACTGCATTCGTGGATATCTTTATATAGTATTTCTCCATGAATAAGACACAATCGACTCAACATACTTCCCAAGCGAAAGCAACTGGACCGCCGTTTCTGCACAGCTGCCTCCAAAAAGCCCACCATACTGCTCTGGCGCTGAAAAATCCATGTGAACCAACACTTGTAGATTGCCATCCACCCATGTCTATTACATGCTGTTAAGCTTATTTTAACTGTTCATTTGTTAAGCTTTGTACGTAACATAAACTACTATCTTAAGCAGGACGGAGTGTCGTAACTATTGCTCCGATTAGTTACTACCACTATGCTAATCCTTCCTAGCATGAATCAATCGCTGTCGCAAGTTGCATTTCAAGGCTACGCATCTATTCCATAGTGCGTTTTGCAGATTCCTTCTCGATCTAGCACTCTAACCATCTGCATACGATATCTACACTTCTTGATTGTTGCACTCCTTGTGTCTGCTTGATGATCCTCAGCCAAGTCTAGCCATCTCATAGGCTCCGCCAATCGGCAGATCGATCTGTGGATGCATAACAACATCCTATCTCACTTCTGACTGGCGCCATCCTCCATGACAAAAGCTTAAGATTCATTATTTCTGTCATGTCACTATATCACTATTGTATA